TCCGGGGCAGGCGGGAATCGAACTCATGCGGAAGTGGCTTTAGCTTCTTAGTGCAGTGCTTTAACCCGCTGCGCCACCAGGGAGGGCCAAAATAACTAAACTTTTTAAAGTATGGTTTTAGAAAAAATTTGTGTCCCCTACACTAAAACATTTACTCCATCCTTTATGGTCATCTGCTATCACTAGCTTTTCCTGATAGCTCTTAGAGAAAGTAAGTTCTGGGAACAGGTAATTCACTTTTCTTTTCATTTTAATTTTGGCATTCTGAACATCTCTGAACTTTGCTAAAAATGCAGTATACCATTGCAGAGTCACTGTGTGTTATTCATATTCATTTTGGTCAAATAAGCTTTGACTTGTCTTCAGTGAAGGGAGTAACATGAGGAGCGATAAAGATTTTTTGTAAGTGGCATCTAAATATTACATGAGGATTCTTGATATTTAAAATACCATATCCAGCCCTTCCTTGTGGCATAACAGATTAAAACATAGCACTATAAAGCTAACCACAGCCACTTTAGCACAATCCCAGGCTGAGGAGGTGACCCATTTGGCACAGCTGTCCTCTCCTATCTCTCCCACTGCTCCCCTCAGTAGTGTTTTTCGATAGATCTGCCTGTTCTGCTCCCCACTCTGTCTCTGTCACCTCTGCACCTCTGGTCTGTACCCCAGTTATATATGCACAAATTTAAAAAAAAATCTTTAAAATAAATTAAAATACCATATCCTTCCCCAACTAGTCAATTTACTGTGATTTATCATCATATGTACATATCTATCTACCCATGAATATATATAAAATATGATGTGTGCATACACACATTATATATATATATATATATATATATATATATATATATAATATATTAGAATTCTTAGTTGCAGGTAATAGAACTCAGGCTAACTTTTCTAGCAGTTAGGCATTTATTAAGCATTCAGTTTTGTCAGACTCCCCATGAGAAGAAAGAACCAGATAGGTATTCTTCATTACCAGCTATACTCCCAAAGAAGAAAAGCTTACTAAGTATCACTTCAGATGCTCTTCTGATAGACACACTACTTAACCTACCACCTAAAACAATGAGGGATAGACCCAATGATTGTTTCTGCAGAAACCACAAATCAGATGCATTAACTACCATGCTGATTTGTAGATCTAATTTGCTATAGTCAATCCCCATCTCTCCTTGCTTCTTTCCACTATAGAATCTCATGAAGACACAATTGATTTGCAGAGAGAGAGATACAGATAAGCAAGCCTAAAAAATACAAATCTTAGATTTCAAGACTCTATATTCAAGGATGCTCTGGAAAGGGGGTTTGAAAAGGATGATGACTCTGGAGAAATGTTTATTTTGCACTTCTGCCCATGTACTGACTGGGTTGTTTACTTTTTCTTGAGTTGCTTGTGTTCTTTATATATTTTGGGTATCAGCCCTCTGTCACATGAGTTATGTGCAAATATTTTCGCCCATTCAGTATGATATATTTTTTTTTCAGATAGTTTATTTCACTATGCAGAAGCTTTCAAGGTTGATGGAGTCCATGTGTTTATATATTTGCTTCTTTGGCTACTGGACATGAATCCCCAGAAATGTTTATGAAGTCAATGCAGAGTGTTTTACCTATTTTCTTCAACATATTTTATAGACTTTGGTTACACATACATGTCTTTAATACATTTTGAGTTAATTTTTGTGTAAGAAGTGCAATAGTAATCTTGTTTTATTTTGTACAATTCACTGTCAGTTTATCCAATACCATTTTTTGAAGGGATTTCCCTTTCTACAGTGTATATTTTTGACTCTTCTGTTATGGATTACCTGTCCATCCATATGGGCGTTATTTCTGGGTCTTGGGGTTTTATTCATTTGGCCTGTATGTCTGTGTTTTCCCAAAACCACATTGCTTTTATTACTATAGCTTTCTATTATAATTTGAAGTCTGGGAAGCATGCTTCTTGTTTTCAGGATTGTTTAGGTATCCTGTTTCACACGCTCTTCACAAGCCTATTTCCCAACACCTTCTCGCAGTTCTCTTTGTTCTCAGCACATGCAATTCAGCTGGCAACTTCCCCTCCAACCCTTGGTATATTTCCCTTTGACCCGCTAGTTTTCATTTTAGTTATTGCTACCTCCTCCATCAGTTCCAATGATGTGACCCCAAATCAATATCCCGATTATTGTTTTACATTATATTGCCTGCCATTCCTGAAAACCCAACATTGTAAAGAAAATGAACTTTTCATTGTGTCATTGGACAAGGAAATTAACCTCTTCAACTTTCACTTTCTTTAGTTGTAAAATATGTTCATGTCTATCTAATGGATTTTTGAATGTTAAAAGATTAAATTTATTTTTGATTAAATAAATAATTAAATGTTGAGTGTTAAAAGAAAGTCCTATATCTTGCATATTAGTAGAATTCTTAGCTCAGAACATGTCATGTAGCATAGACATTATTCTTTTTCATTAAGTGAGTAATATGAATCTGGTCCAATGCTAAAAAGTCCAAGGAAAAATGTATTAGCCAAATCCAAATATTTTTCTTCATAGAATTTACATTGTAGGGAATCGAGTAAAGTGACAAAAAATACATGTAGTGAAGGCAGTTTGAATACTGTGAAAGAAACAGCGAGCTAGAGAAATGGCATACCATTTATTTATTTATTTGTAAAGATTTATTTATTTATGCATACAGAATTGGTGTACAGGCCAGAGATGCAGGGGGTGATAGGACTCACCAGAAACAGAGTGGGGAGCAGAACAGGTAGATATACTGAAATACACTGTGAGGGGAGCATCAGGCGAGACAGGAGGGGTCTGCTGTGCCATGTGGGTCACCTCCCTGGGTGGGGATCGAACTCATGCTGCCGAGGCTGCAGATCGCTTCAGAGTGCTGTGCTTCACTCATTGTCCCAACAGGAAGGGCCCCTCCATCCCTCTAATTTTTCATCCCTCCTGTGACTTTACTTTTGTTTGCATTATTGCCTTCACACCTCTCTTGCCTTTTCCTCTGCCACTAAAATCTTTCTCATTTTCTTTGATAGTATTTGCAAGTACCTGCTGTATACGGGGTCTTCCCGCTGTCCTAGAGATGGTACGGTCTCATTCTGAGTACTCCTGAATCTTCAAAGTACTGGTATAGCAGGCATCGATCTATCTCCCCTGTATTTTGCTTACTAGGGAACTTCTTATCCAATTACCAGCAGGTAGGCTCCTGGAGGCCTGGCTTCCCCTACAACAGCATGTTGGAAATATCAGGAACACAAAGAAACTTGTTCTCTCCTGTACTTAATTACCTTTCTATCACGGAGTCCAGGACCTAATACAAAGAGTTGCTCAATATTTACTGAACAGAGTCAATTAAAGCAGGAAGTTTGCCTCTAATATGTGCTAGAACACTTTATAATTTGGGCTGTGAGCATTATTCCAAGACCATCTTATCTCATGGTCTTCAAGTCTTCATTGCTAGACACTGCAATGCATATTAGAAACTTTTATTTGTATTATATGATGTTAAGATTGGAACTCTAATGACTACTGCCTAGAATTTAAGTCCAATTGGGAATTGAGGTGTAGTTAAGCATTCTTATACAATTTACTTTAATGAGTGCAGTCATGTTTTATTACCAAGGAAAAGGAAATGCTGGTTGGCCAAGGAATGTGAAAAGAGATAAACAACCACCTTCTAATTAGAAATTAAGTGAGGTTTTCTAGGGTTGGCTCAACTAACCCCAAATGTTTTTTTGTTGTTGTTGTTGTTTGTTTGTTTGTTTGATTCTTATTTCCTCTAAAGCTTGTGGAAATGAAAAACCTGTCTAGTCTTCAACAGTTTCAATAGTTGGCTTTGTGCTCTTTCATATGCTCAGTCACAGCAGTTGAGCAGTGGATGTGTTCCTTTAAGAAAAAATCATCTTACCCTTGAAGGGATGAATCAGGTGTGAAATGCTCTATTTGATATATTCAGAGGGCTCCCTTTGTAGATGTATGCTTTCAAATTGAAAAACACTTGATACACTGAAATCTGACTCAAAGTCTAGTTCAGACATATCTACAAACATCACTCTTCTTTCCTTATGAGAAACAAAATATAGACGACCTTTTTTTAGAATAAAATGAAAAACTTTTAATGTCAACCAGTAAAATGGAGTATTCTTTATTTATCCAAGCTACACAGCCTACTGAAGGCGTCATTGATTGTAACAGAAAATCACTATTTTTGTACAATTTTGTTGATTTTTCTTTTCTTAGATATAGGACTTAGAAAGATCTTATCACACATTGCAACTCTATAGCAATTCCTAAGTGGTGAGGTGTAAGGAGGGCTGGTGTGTAATGAAGCATCAGTATCAGCTGGCTAAGAAGGGGTACATTTCAGAATGCAAAAAGCTGCAGTAATACTAAGCTTGCTTCGAGCCTTTGCTCTCTCAAGCTCTATCTCGAGGGGAGATAAAATAATGAAAAATACTTGGCCAAACTGCTAGCAAAACTCTTATTGTTTGTACCACTCTTGGAAAAGACTCTTGGGAGTAACAGTGGCATTCTTGCTATTGATTGGCTGGTTAAATAGAGGACTATTAGCTTCAGACAGGCTAGATTGATTATACGGCAGCAGCAGCAGCTCAGACTTAAGCTGAGTGAGCGGCAGGGTGAAAAGAAGAGGGAGAGAAGGGAACGCAGGTGGGGAGGGAGGCCACGAACGGCCCACAGTGTCGCTGCCTGCTGGTGCGATTATCTCGCTGCCTGGCTCCCTCAGTCAACAACTTACTGAGGAGCCTTTTCTTCACAAGAGGATGTCAGCTCGGAGCCCCAGCATGAAATAACAGACTTCACCTTGGAATAGTTCATCTCACTCCTGCATCATTAAAGAGGATTTTGCAAGGAAAAAAAAAAACAAGACCCTCCCAACCCCACTTTGTTCCAGAATTGAAGAGAAGCGGTTTCATGCTCCAGGTAAGGAAATTACATTTTTGTCTCTGGATTCCTTTCTGAGTCATTCACAGTAAAATGCATCACAGCTCTGTGTGTTTTACAAATTGAGTTTGCAGCGGTGTATTAAAGTTAATGCAATGCACTGGCTGCTGGATTTAGAAATGTGTTGATGCATGTTGATATGAACATATTTGCTGTTTTGTTTCCAGGTATATGTGAGGTTATTTTTAAAGAGATCCCTGGGTTATAAATGTATGTGGTTGATGGTCTACGCAGAAGAAAAATAAAGTTCATATTAAAAAGAGTATTTGGAGGGACAGCCACAAATATGTTCACTTACATAGTTAACTGGTAAACAACTTTGGGAAATGATAGCATATCATGAAAAGACCACTACTGCATTGTCTGTTATATTTTATGCAGGCTTAGAAGCTACTGTGTGCTTTTTGAGAGTTGTCGGTGTTTTTTTTTTGTTTTTTTTTTTTTTTCCTAAATCTGTCATTTGAGTGCAGGCTTCATGCTTCTGTGTAATCATGATGTGATTTAAATGATGTGACAGTGGGCTGTCGTATTCTAAGTTATTGATGGCTAGTACTGGGTCTTCAGAAAGTACTAAACTAGGCAAAGCATGTTAACTGCTCCAGAGTTCATAGCCAGACTGCAGTCCCATCAATTAACGTTTTCAGTGTCAGAGATGTATGCGCTAGTAAAGTGTCTGTGCGCAAAGAACAACTTTGCATATTTCTAAATCTCTGCTGGGAATGGGGCTTTTTATTTATTTACTTATTTATTGAGGGGAGTGATTGCGTGGACAAGGAATGATGACTTGGGGCAATGCAGTACTGATGTAGTTGATTGACCTTAGGCTGGTAGGTCACAAAAGTCAACTGATAAGAGTCAGCTCTGTGATAGCTGACTCTCAAAAAAATCTATTTCATCCTAATGGGAACAAAAAGGGCTACTCCATTCTTTATGTCAATGTATTTGCTTTGGATCAATGAAGAGAAATATTATACCCCAAGGGCTGTTCCAATTGTTCTTTTGAGTGAAGTTCCCTGAGTCACTCATCACATCAAATATCCAACTGCTTCTGTGATTAGATGACAAAACTCTTTAATATGTTGTTTGATGTTTCAAATAAGAACATGATTTCCAACATGTTTGAGAGGCAATGTAGTTGAAGTTGGTAATATTACATGGTCTGCCTGGCTGTGTTTTAGAACACTTGCTTGTATACTAAATATAACTGCCTACTTGAAGGACATTAGTTTTCATGACATCTATTTTATATTTTAATATGAAATGTTTAATGCTTCATATAATCTGAATATTACAGCTGGTAGATATTTCCATGTACGAAAACAATATCAGAGGTAATTATACTGTTATGAATTTTATCATCTTACAATCTGTCTGAAGGAATATAGCTGTGTGTATTAGATTATTGAATACATTTGAATTGATGAATTTGAAAAAGATGCATGCTTCTCATATGAGTACTATGTTTGAGGAACTGATGCAAGATATTGAGGATGGTGGCAAGCACTGGAGAATATACTTTTATGTATCTAGTAGCAATATTATGTCAAACCCACACATAACAGCATTTATCATAAATCTCTTATACTCTCACCAAGGTATTGATTTGCACATGTTATATTATTTATGTTAACTTTTTACACAACTTATCAAAAATTATGCTTTTAATCCTTCCATTTTATTGCTTATGCAACCTAACCTATATCAGCAGAGAATGTAATTAAAATTTAATGTATCTAGTCATTTTTAGATTTAATACACAAAGTTATTCAAAATCCCCTATTTTTGTTGCAGTAATCCTGTGTATAACCTATGTATACAGTGCAGTTTCCTTATAGCAGTTATTTATGGGTAATATTTAGGTGTACATATAGAAAACTAATTTTCAAATAGTTTTGTGTATTTTTTAGAAGACCACAGATATAAACATCCATATCTATTTATTTTTTCTGTGAATATCAAAGTGTTTCCCTCTACAAAGACTTTTAAAATTTCTTGAAACAGGTTTTTCCAGTACTTAGGTATTCATCTTAGCTGACTCTTAAGAAACTTGAATATTTATTTTTATTATCTTGCAAATTCTGTAATTACTTTTATGAGAAATTTGATTCCTGATCTTCTTAATATGAAAATGTGTCATGACTAGAGAACAAGCAAGTTCTTTTGCAAATTTCACACTTTCCAACTATGTAGTTGATGTGTTTCCTACGTTGCGGATCAGTGATTCTCAGCTAACATGATATAGGAAAACACAATTGTCCTAGCAGACAAGAGCATAAACATCAGTTTGAGGCTCCCTCATGGATTCTGTATGGCATTTCTCACTTTTCTTCTTATCTTTGGCAGAGGTTATTTTTGAGTTTTTATTCAACTCCTCTTACCTCTCTTGTATAGTATCAGATGTCTTTCCTGATAATTCACTTTAGCACAGCAAACTGTCAAGAATTGGAATGTACAACCTCTGTTTTTCTAGATCTCGGAACCATTAGGGGGCTCTTTCTCTCTATGTTAGACTCAGTTCACCACTTAGAGAGGTTATGCTGCTTTCTGAAAGTATTTTCTCTGTTTCTAAACACGAGTGCTGCTTAAAGTAGTTTTCTCCTACTTTCCACAAAAGGAAATAATAAGGATGCTTTATTCTCACAGAAATGTGAATTTATGCTATACTGTCTAAATGTATTCTTTTTAAAATATTCTTGCACAGAGAATGTTTAATCTCTGAAAATAACAGGGCTTGAAATATTAAAATGATTGATTTTAGGCAAATTTAGAGATATGTTTTGCAACTAATTTCATAAGAAACATTCAAATGGGGGCAAAAATGAAGAGAAGAATTTTCCCTCACAATGATCTGAAAATATCTGTGAACAGCCCAGATGATGAGTAATTCTGGACTCTCATGTAATTTGCTTTCAGAAGAGAGCAGCAGGCAGCTAAAAGAGAATATTACTTGGTTTTTTGTTTGTTTTTTTGTTTTTTTTTTACAAAAATAGACATGGAAGAATTGAAAATAGTAGGATGATTTTCCTATCTGTACACATATAGTAAATGTATTTTTAAATTCAATAAAAAATCATTACATGTTATAAAGGAAGTTTTTGTCAAGAGGAGCCTGATGAAGGGCTGGTTATGGAAGGAAAATGTGTCTCCTGTATCATTTTTGAAAGCCATGCATATTAAATTGCAATGCAGACTTTCATAATAAATGGCAACACATTCTTTCCATCTCCACAGCAGCTAAGGATGTTCCCTGATGGCAGTGTTTGTTTATTAGTCAAAATTTAATAATGTCTCTTTGCAAAAGCTGTCTGTTTAATGGCTCTAGACTTTTCATCAAAGGATACCAGTTCCATGAGATGGGAAAGAATCGAGCTATGCCTTTCAGGAGGGACTTCTGTGAGGAAGTAGGAGAAGGGAAAGGACTGCGAGGAATGAGTCATAGAATCCCACTCTTACTGAATTGCTGACTCAGTTCTCAAACGGTTGTGGATATGATTGAATGACATGAGCTGATGAAAAGGGACAGGCATTTCCTTTATGGATGGAGGTTTTATGTTAGCACGCGGTGGTCTTATCTGTTGGTTTGAAAGGTGTATACTTGAAATGAGTAAATTTTAAATGCAACTAGTATAACATACATAGCTGCATGTAGATCTTCCCATGACTACCTGGGACAGCTGGTCTACCAGGAACAAGCTGACACATACTTTCATGCAGTACTTTCTCATAAAATTAGGCTTTGGTAATGTGAATTACTGAGTAATAAGACCCCAATGAGAATATTAATGCCACAGACTTGATGTAATTTGTATGACACTATTTTACAAATTTGAATTTTCCTCTAAAGAGATTACCTTTTATATCAATGTAGAATAACATTGGAAATGAAGAAGAGAGGTTAAAATTAAAATGAAACAAAGCCATAACAATGCAGTGACTGCAAGGTAAATTGTTTTATGTTGCAAAATCGTGTCCCAACCCACAAAGAACCATAATATATAAAGACAGTCTTTAACTTTTCTACATAATGGAAAAGAATTGGAAATTCCATGGAGTGTATAATTTCTATACCTCACAGAGTAGGGGAGTGGCTCTGTAGAGATGTGGGAAGTAGGAAAGTATAAATTAACTAATATGTATACCACTAGTGCAATGAGAAATATCACAAGAAACAAGATAGTCCTTCAGATCTGATTTAATCCAGTGGATTGAGATGAATGATGATGCTAATAACTAAGCCACATAAATCTGTTTATATATGTTGATGTCAACAGTGAACTGGATTGCATTCTCTGTAGTCATCTATGCACTTGTTGGATTTTGAGATAGTGTGTTTGTATGCATTGGGGTGAGAATTTTTATACGTAAAGTTTTGAAAATTTTAAATAACATAAAAATACAATCACTCTTACTGTGTGATATGATTTGTGTTTGATAGCACTCATTTGCTTGTTTATATGTTAACAATGTATTTAGTTTTATGAGGGAAGTGAATCATCTTCCAAAGTAGCTGTATCATTTTGTATTCCCACTGGCAATAAATAAAAGTTCCTGTTGCTCCATATCTTTGCTGGAATTTAGTGTTATCGGTGTTTGGGATATTAGTGGCTTCAGTAAGCTTATTGGGTATCTTGCTGGTTTTGGCACATAATGTTAAATGATAATAATGGGTGTGCCATGTTGAGAATGATTCTAAAGCACATAGTGGGTCTTCAGGAAACATGTACATAATCAACTGATGATGTTTCCCACTGAATGTTGTTTGTTTTGTTTTTTCCTTTGGGAGCAGGATCATGTGTAAAGGCAAGGTAGTCTGTTACTTTTAATGCACATTTGCAAATAAATTTTAGCACTAATAAATTAATTAGAGAAATTAAGTAGCCCAAACCTACATTTGTCAATCATCAGATAGCAACAATTTCATATTTGTGAAGCAAAGTGATTTGAATTAAAACACATGATTCGGTTTGTACAGTTTCACA